TTATTTTCATAATCCATCATTTGCACAAAAATGATTTTCATTCATAATATGAAATAGATTTTGAAAAGGCAATCTAAAAAAAAAAAGTCAACTTTCGGTCAACCAAAAATTGAACTTTCGGTCGACCGAAAATGCAAAATTGGTGGAATCAACCGAAATTGATAAACCGAAAGTGACTGAGAATGTCCCTTTTGCTCTATAAATATCCATCCTTTTTGCATTCGATTTTGAACAACTTACCCAAGATATTTTGAGAGCTTATTTATCGAAATCATTGAGTTTACTTGATTCTATATTCTTACTTCATTTATTACAAAAAAATTTATTAATTGATCAAACTAATTTTCATCTATCTTATCAAGAATTCTTTTTGCAATAAAACGTTCTCAATCTCATATATTCTTCATTTTTTATAGAAATTTTATTTGCCAACACTTATATTGAAGTGTAAGTATCCATTCATACTTAACTTGTATTATTTGTTAAGAGAGATCATAGGTTGAAAACTTTAATACAAAGATACAAACTATTTCATTATTCATTATTCATCAAAGTTTACAACATAAATACTTGAGCTTTATTATTTGCTATCTAACGGGAACGGAGAGCTTGGTAATGGAAACGTAGAACACATTGTGTATTGAACCCTATTAAATTGGTTTTTTATCTTTACATTATTGCACTTTACTTTACATTCTCATTTATATTGTGCTATATTCATACTCGAATTAATTTATCGAGTTTACATATTTATCTCTTATTACTTTGCATATATATCTCTCTTATTACACTTTGAATTTGTTTCTTGTGTATTGAATAGTTTTGAAACTAATTGTCGAAAAAGTTTCAAGCATCAATTCACCCCCTTCTTGATTAATTATTCTTGGGCTAACAGTTTGATTATAATAAATGAATTTGCTAGATAATCAAGTGATGATTAATATATATTTACAATCAAAAGTTACGAGATTACTTGCTCAGAATTTTTATTAACCAAGACAAGGCTTATGCGTGAATGCTAACTAGTAAGCCTACATTCCAAAACTTTTAATAATTAATAGATGGGATGAAGGTAGAAAATATTGTTGCCCATAGTTTAGCATAATTGTTCAATAAAAGCCTCTAACTAATTGCAAAGAAATTACTATTT